ACAAATACACTTTTTATATTACTAATTGTCGCCACAGGTTGATCATGGACACTAACAGCTTAATTTGAGATAAATGACTTATGAGTTTCTCTAAAGTTAACTGTAAAGTTGTGTAGTCCAGTCATTGATGGACATTTATGGAAATGAACCTGCAAATGTTTAAATACTCACGGTAACAGTCTCCCAGCTCCCTGCTTGTGTAATTAAGCAATGAAAACAATCCAAAATTATCACATATGACATAAGTTGTAATAGCAGAAACTTTCTAACCGTACATTCATCCGCCACTGTTCAAGAACCTATACCACTGTTTAAAATCATGACGTGAGCACTGTACATCCAATCAGCTATTCCTTTAGTTAGGATGATAGCCAAAACTATAAGGATTTTAGAGAACTAGGGTAATAGTCATAATTCTAAAATTTGAGTGACTGTGTTAGTCAGCTGTGTATGCCATGCAGGGAGACTGTACCGATTATTTTTCCCCAGTCCATGAAACTCTAACGAATTTAGAAAGTATCTAGATAAGTAGGAGTTTGTTCAATTCCGAGAGCAATTATATTTATATCATAGCGAAATTTCCAACTATAATCCGCATGTGTCAGCCAGTACAGGAGACAAGAAGTCTGGCTACTTTACGACCGTTCCTCTGGGACCATTAGTAGAAGTAGCTTCTATCAGAACAGTGCCGTGGGAACAGAATTCCCGCCAAAATACCCGGTCTACCAAATAGTAATATTGATTGGAGACTGGAGTGTACGGTGTGCGGTGTGTTTTGAATTAGACTTACGGCTTACCTAGTTGTTATCCTAATTGAATTATCATCGGTACATAACATAAATAAACTACTGGTAAGTTTAAATACCAAGTGCAAACGTGTTCAGTCAATCGACCCACTGAACAATGAGTTCTACAAAATTAACTTATCTCCACTGAATCAGTTCCTCGTAATAAAGACTGAGCTAAAAGTAGAAACTGCTAAAACAACTCAGTAGTAAAAATTGATTGTACACCTTCCAGACTCCCAATGCAGTTCTACATATTCGACCAGCTGTGAGGATATTCATAATAACATACATTCGCATAATGTTAAATGTTCGCGTAAACTTAGTACGGCATATTTGATATTTTACCCCATGGCCCATTGATGATTACAATTTACATGAACAACCGGTAACCTTAATATAATATACATTTTTGTAACATATACAGCAGCTTAAAACAGTTCTCCTCGTTACACTAACAATATATAATACACACAATTCACAAAATTGTTTCGTTGTTTATCACAAATTAACAGTAACATCACTAATCAGACGAATGACAAATTACTTAACGGCTGCGGGCTGTTTCGGATGTAATGTCTAATGTCAAACGACAATGAAAAGCGAACAAGATTCTGACATTGTGTAACCGACTTGTCATTAGTATAGCATGATTAGTGTCTAGTACATGATACATTTATTATTACCCTAACGCGTCGTCCCTCTGCATAGTCCAATCACAACCGTTAACATGTATCACGAGATAATATTTTATCCAACGCGAAAACAATCATGCGCAAATTACTTGCGATTTAATTACTAAATCGCGCGGCTTACATGTAAAATTATTTGCGCGCGGCTTCTTACTTTCCAAATTTAAATTTTATTGGCACACGCACATTTATATTCCGTTTTAAAATTAAAAAATTGTGATGGCAACGGCCCTCGGACAAATCTAGCGAGCGAAGCGAGCGCGCTCCAGAAAGGGGGGCGCTTTTTGAGTTGAGCGGGGGGGCGCCAAAAAGTAACGTTACGCCACTGATCAGTTAAGCCTCCATTCGGTTTTAGATGTAGATAAATCCATCAATAAATCCATCAATTTGGGACATTGGGACATCGGAGTGTTGGCTGTATCTGAGTGGTGGGAAGTGATCAGTTAAGCCTCCATTCGGTTTTAGATGTAGTTACAAGCCAGGCTTACGCTTCATCTGAAGTCGCGTAAAATTAACCAGGTTCATGGAATGAACGAAAATGAATATTCTCCTAAAAGTGCTCAGAACAGTTCAAAATTGGTCGGAAAGAGTTAATATTGGTCCTATAGCACGACCCAAACCAAGTTAGTGAATCACTGCATCTCTGATCTAGGACAAGTGTAACCCTTAATGGTGGTTCCTATTTTGAACAGCTGAACAGAAGCGAAATGACTGAACTGAAGTACTTGCCTAGTTTACTCAGTTTAAAATCAGTGTTTTGTGATTATTGATTCCACTATTACTCTAATAACGAACTTCTCCATGACCATAAACAAGTGGCACAACAAATTACTGCAGATTTACTATGAATACCAACCTGATATAGAGCCAAAAAGTGATACATTCCCCTGATACAGCATAATTTCAATACATGCTCATTTATGTGATTTTTGACTCATTATGGCACTTTTAACCATCTAAATTCTCTAAATATTAGTTAGCATGATATAATTGTGATTGATAGAGTTCATTGTTACAATCATTCCGTTGATATTCTTATAACATTCATCATTATAAAATACTTAGTCAGAATTAACCCTGTGTGTGATAATTGCATCGTAACTCCACATTTAACCGGTGATTCTTTGCACTTTTAACACTCAACTATCTCAAAAAGATTGCTATTATGTAATCAATACGGTTATTATCACTTTAGTATCCTTATTTCCTACATGTGTAATAAGTAATAACTCACCCAAGAGGGAGACAGCAATCAGAACTGTTGGAGAATTCCAATACCGCCAGAATGTGTCGCCATACACTGTACTACCATTTATAACCTGAGAACCATATAAGGAAAGGATTAATTTAAACTCATTAGATTCGAAATAATGGCGCTTAATAAAATCTAGTATCTTATTGGGTTATTAAACTAACTTGTCTTCAATCAAAGAAACAAGCTTGGGAAGAACTAGATGTAAATAGGGCGCAAGTTTAATATCGGAGCAGAGCTATTTAATAATACTATGAAACAATAAGTTTTATTTTACATTCCTTTAATCATAAATACCCTAAATAAAATAAGAGCTTAAACCACGAATTAGTTAACTAGAGGTAAACTTGAGGAAATGTTCGTTGGTGATTGTATATAATTATTTAAAAAACTTTATTTGGTTGTTAGTATTTTTATTATGGCAAGTGGTTGAATTTAGGGAAATTCAGTGAGACAAGGTCAGTTTCTATATTGTCTTAGAAAAATTTCTACTTTACAGTAGGCAATGCTGAAGTGGCAGGAATGAGGGACCAAAACACTTGGGGCTCACAATGGCCCATATATATAAATAACGGCAGAGTAGATTGTTAATAGGAAAACCTTCGGTAATGAACTTAAAGACTTACTTGAGAAAATGGTGAACTAATATCACTGTTAATAAAGCACATTTCACACACTGACCTTACTTCTACCAGCAAATTTAAAGACGGGTTGCGATGAATTAAATACGATAAAGCTTTTAAAATTTAAGACGCTGAAGCCTTCGCAAAAGGTAACCGACTTTATGCATACAACGAACTGAGTTTAATTATAATCAGAGTTATACTCGAGGCAGAGAAGATGACTCTCGCGAGTAACAATTATCACACTTATTTCATGATATCTCAGCTTCTGATTAGAGTGAAGGGCTCATCTTGGGCATACAAATGGTCAGCAAGTTTTTCAAGCTTACAACAGAGTTTGTCACATTTGACATGTTAAGAGCCTATCAATAAAGAAATAATGATTATATATTTGACTTGCCACCAACATCGCACTGGCTAAGGGGACACATCCCCAAATAGGGCCACATCCCCAGATTACTGGTCTTTCATCCCCAGATTACTGGTCTTTCGACTTTCGTCAAAGACCAGTCCAATATGTTGGTCACATGTTTCTGTAAGAACAAAGATATCGACAACAGATGTGGCGGGAGATGTAAATTCTCAAAGAAAGGTGTGCTTAGCTATGCTTATTGTGTCTGCCAAAACTGATCTGTTGCAACACAGTCAAAGACAGATCAGGCCCACCTAACTCAACCTAACACTCTAAGAGAAAGCAGCCATTGAAACCTTCAAGAAATACACGTAAAAAGGCTAACAAAGACTAATTTCATATATTTCCTAAGAATATTTAGGTATTGATCAATCATTGCATATGAATAATGAACTGTTACTTAACTATCCCGTAAAAGGAAAATCTGACTATTTTATTTATTATCAAGGAAAAGTTTAATGCTATTCATCAAATAGATTAATGATTATCATCCTATATTGAGTTGTGATCTCATGTATCTACTTTACAAATTTATGTCAATTTACTACATAACAATAGATTAATGATTAGCAGAACAGGCTTATTATTTGCAGATGACAGTGCACTATATTTTGATAATATCACTTGAGGCTCGTCTGACAATGCAATGTAGTAGAAGTAGTATAAAGATGTCATATGAATGGCTTAGAATTAACAAGCTGAGACGAAATGTTTCAAAATCCTCATTCATGGTATTCGACAAATGTCCTAATCTTGATAGACTGTCGATCCCTCTTGATTTGGAAGATGGCAGTCTTCACATAGAAGAAACCAAATCCCAGAAATACCTAGGTCTGGTGATAGACAACCTATTAAACTTTCAGGACCATATTGATTATGTAAGATCATGTTACTAGGAGAATAGGAGCATTATAATTTAGGTTTTTTAAAACTACTTCCACAGAAATATAGAAAAATATTTGTAAACGCTCTTATGCTTCCTCAATTTGATTACATGGATATTATAGCTGATATTACATTTTGAATGCTTTCGACTAGTTTCTAGTACAATTGCAATTACAAAAAATTATTTTAATGCAGTCACTCAGATGAGTTTATACCAGGACATATCAACAAAGACACATACTCTGCCCACAATAAGGGGCCATAATTGTTTCAATTATGAAACTGTATAGAATTATTATTATTAATAGAGCCCACAATTTAATACTCTGTACTCAGATTAAACTAACTCACCTAGCCAAATGGATCGGAGAGGGCGAACAGAACTGTTGAATTATTATCCCATGACGTCAGAATGTAGTTCATCTTGATATTAAAACATTTCCACTACTCTTCATCACATTCTGAAAAATATTATTCGTTGATATATAGTATAATTACACAGCAGACTTCTGTTTTGATTTGAACGGGTCATGTTTCATGAGCAAATTAGGAGCCCTTACCACTGCCGTAGATCATAAGTCCATATTTTAGCAACCATATTTGAGAATGATGCATCCTGGACGGCATTCTTTTTCAGATCAATTCACCTGGACAAAAATAATGATCGAGTAGTTACCCTGTCTTCACTGCAAAAATTATTCGATGAATGAAAGATTGTTATTATCACTTATCAAAGGAGATAGCTACAACAAATATCATCAAATGTCTAGTACAATTGCAATTACAAAAAATTATTTTAATGCAGTCACTCAGATAAGTTTATACCAGGACATATCAACAAAGACACATACTCTGCCCACAATAAGGGGCCATAATTGTTTCAATTATGAAACTGTATAGAATTATTATTATTAATAGAGCCCACAATTTAATACTCTGTACTCAGATTAAACTAACTCACCTAGCCAAAGGGATCGGAGAGGGCGAACAGAACTGTTGAATTATTATCCCATGACGTCAGGATGTAGTTCATCTCGAGATTAAAACATTTCCACTACTCTTCATCACATTCTGAAAAATATTTTTCATTGATATATAGTATAATTACACAGCAGACTTCTGTTTTGATTTGAACGGGTCATGTTTCATGAGCAAATTAGGAGCCCTTACCACTGCCGTAGATCATAAGTCCATATTTTAGCAACCATATTTTGAGAATGATGCATCCTGGACGGCATTCTTTTTCAGATCAATTCACCTGGACAAAAATAATGATCGAGTAGTTACCCTGTCTTCACTGCAAAAATTATTCGATGAATGAAAGATTGTTATTATCACTTATCAAAGGAGATAGCTACAACAAATATCATCAAGTGTCTAGACGAAAGGTCTTACCTCTATTTTCTGGTTGCGGGTTGGTTGAACATTTTAAAGTCAGCGAGTGCCAGCGGTATCCAATTGCAATTGAACAATGTTAATGAAAGATACCAGCTCACGTGCATTGCATGACTCAACAAACTGGTTACCTTAAACTCAGTTTCTATACTCAAAACGAAAATATTTACTCCGCAAACATTTACAAAGTTTGCAATTTGGATAAAGCTTGGATGCGCGGCTTGACTACTTGACTAGAATTACATTTAAAAATAAAATTTCAAATGTCTTATTTCAATTTTTTGGAATTTTTCCAATCAATGTTAATGGCCAAAACTTTATTAAGCCTACCATATACTAGTGTAGCGTAAGAATTATATTAATATATTAATCATGCCAATACCATAATTATCAATACTGAACGCGTAATATTTTACAATAGCAAATAGAATAAACTACCGTCAATCATTAATTACAAACAGTCAGCTCCATTAAATAAAACAGTATAATCGTTTATGAAATGACCACTTGTATATTTGAATGACAATTATTGCCAAATTTGCAAAACTGAAGTTTAAGGGGGGGGGACAATGGATATTTTTTTGTGAAACTTGATTTCGAGATAGCAGTTGACCAACAAACTAGGACCAGTGACCAAACTTTTAAGGGGGTCCAGGACCCCAACCGCCAAACGGTGCCCGCGGGGGAGCCACACCCATATTTGGTCCAAATTAGGCCCAATTTAGCCAAATACCCTGAGCATGCCCAAAACCCAGATTTTAGGTGCTCTTCTTGTAGCTAGTGGTCTCCTGAACTCGTATATGAAATTTCATCAAGATTGGACAAAAAATGACTGAGTTATGGGCCAAAAACCATATGCCCATATTTGGGCATACGCACCAAATTTGGTAGATTTCGTCCCATAAATTGAGCAAATATCAATATTTTTGAATGAAACTTACTTTATAAGAAAGGTAAGCCTAAACTACATATTCTCTGTAAGTTATAGCTTTATATTTGTTTAAATGTGGATACTAAGGCGAAAAAACCACAAAAAATGAACTAAATTGCCCGTATCTTGGTTCGCGATATTCGCGGAATTGATCTCATTAAAATTGTAACAACTCAATCAGTTTTCAAAATTTTTGCATGAAATTTTCGGAATCGACTCGAAATCGCATTTCCACCTTATTTTGAGAACAGATTTTTGATTTAGGCCTCCAAAAAAATTTGGCGGCCAAATTCTGAATTTTTCCGGGAAAATTTTGGAATTTGGCCGCCAAATTTTTTTGGAGGCCTAAATCAAAAATCTGTTCTCAAAATAAGGTGGAAATGCGATTTTGAGTCGATTCCGAAAATTTCATGCAAAAATTTTGAAAACTGATTGAGTTGTTACAATTTTAATGAAATCAATTCCGCTCGAATATCGCGAACCAATTAGATACGGGCAATTTAGTTCATTTTTTGTGGTTTTTTCGCCTTAGTATCCACATTTAAACAAATACAAAGCTATAACTTACAGAGAATATGTAGTTTAGGCTTACCTTTCTTATAAAGTAAGTTTCATTCAAAAATATTGATATTTGCCCAATTTATGGGACGAAATCTACCAAATTTGGTGCGTATGCCCAAATATGGGCATATGGTTTTTGGCCCATAACTCAGTCATTTTTTGTCCAATCTTGATGAAATTTCATATACGAGTTCAGGAGACCACTAGCTACAAGAAGAGCACCTAAAATCTGGGTTTTGGGCATGTTCAGGGTATTTCGCTAAATTGGGCCTAATTTGGACCAAATATGGGCGTGGCTGCCCCGCGGGCACCGTTTGGCGGTTGGGGTCCGGGACCCCCTCAAAAGTTCGGTCACTGGTCCTAGTTTGTTGGTCAACTGCTATCTCGAAATCAACTTTCACAAAAAAATATCCATTGTCCCCCCCCCCTTAAATTAATAATGAAATATAATTTGAAATTAGTCGTTGTTGCAGTGCGCGCGGCGCGAGTGACTGTTCGTTCAACACACTCGCTGCTAATAATGTATGCGTCTAATGCATCATTAATGGAAGGCGCGCCGGTGTAATTTTTGCGCGCGAATTTACGATTTAAACGCCAAGAAACTGCAGGGCAGTAAACTGTGTACTGAATCGCTCGCCCAAATTTTAAGAAAATTCTTGTGAAAAGGCCCTTTGGTTGTGAAATTTATCTAAATCGGTGTATTTTGGACGCTGATTCCGAATCACCCCCCCCCCCCCCCCCCCCCCCACCAGAAAACTTTACCGCCTGCTGGGCTCGCTAGAGGTGATAGATTTTCAACAGCACGTTTGTCGTCGCGCGTCAAGTTTACCTTTCGCACGCTGCATTTAGCCTAGTAGTCATGACAACGACATTACTTTTTGACCATTGTTAATGATCAGGCCCGGCGCGCGCTACTTCGTAGCACTTGCCATCGGGCCATTTCGAGAAGAAAGCAGCGCGCGCTACTTCGAAGAAATTTAGACGAGTAACATCCGTCAACATAACTTTGCAACGTTTAAAAGCTGTGATCTTTTATTTAGCCCAAAATCTTGATTCACGATGTCAATCCTTCGCAGCTCGGTGAGGCACAGTGGTGCATCTCGCCGATCTACCGAAGGATTGATGCATAACAACAAGACACGCGCTAAAGACGCGCATTTTCTGAGTGATGTTAACGATAGCTTTAAATTCACTGAGGTCATTATTATTCAGCGTGACCGGTAATAGTTTAAAAATCAGAAGGAGAAAACACATGTTTAAATTACTAAAAAAGGAGTATCACTTTACAGGATTGAATTTAAATATAGTCATAATAGATAAGAGAGGAATTTGTTTCCCTTTGAATCAATCAAACTAGATGAATTGTTGTAAATACTTAGATCAAACTATCAATCTACAGGCTATCGTCAAACATGTTGCAAGGCGTCATCTTCAGTGACATAATAGATAAGAGTTTATTAACTATCATGCCAACTTTAGAGACGGTAACCACTAAAGTTTTCCCAATCAAAATAAAGGGTTTATACAAAATAAAAGGTTTATGCACTAGACTGCGAGACAATTAACCTTATGCAATGCAGGTTAGTATAACTATAATATCGGACTGAGTTGAAATTTCTGAGAGCATGATACCCCAAAATAAATATATGCCTGTGTCTGGCAATAGCGTTCAGATGGCTTCCGAACTTGTGCGGATAAGATAATATAAAAAATACAAATAAACTATAATAACAATCTGAAAATTAATGTATCAGTACAGATCTTATACTCGAAATCAGGCACTTTCAAAACATTTCTCTTAAATTATCTTTCTTAACACCGTTCAATTGTAACTTTAAATTAAAATATTATGATGATCCGGACGATGATAAATATTAAATTACAACTGATTATATTTATGGATTTCGGCCTGTCGATGCTGGAAGCTGATCAGCTAATCGTTAATCGTTACCATGTGACAAGAATAGTATGATGAACCTCCCAATCAGTATCTATGTATCAAAAGAAAATATTGATCTAATTCAACTCGTCGGGAGCCCTTTTGAAACATCTCGAAGTTAGAGTGCAGAGTGCATGATTACTGATTATCAGCACGATTGGGTGAAACAAAGACGAAACCGTGTGTTGATTAGAATTAAAAGAGGAAGATATTTAGTGATAAATTGTGCACTCTTGCATTTAAGTTTTAATTGTTAGACTTGTTCGATGTAGGGCCTTTAATTTAACCTAATACTAATGCAGTTACTTAATACTTGGTAAGTCTAGGGAAAACAGGTGCTAGTTGTCGGAAATGAAATGGAGTCTGTTCCTGATCGAAGTTACATGATGCTGATAGATTTGATGCAGCTCAGCACTCAGCAGCCACTGTCTTCAAATAGAGTGTTCCAGTTCTGCAATCTGCAGTCTCAAATGTTTTCGCCCAGCTTTTCTTTTCATCGTGGTTATAGAAGACAGACCTGAAGAAATACTAGTATAATGATAATATAGGTAACATGTCCAGAATGAGTAAAATTGTATTATCGGCAAATTTACTTATGTGAAAACTCCAAACAGGGTGGCGCTGGCCCAGAAGTAACTGCACACAAGCAACCCTTTAATGATCACGCACGTAATTTGTGTGAAAATATGTAACTCATTTAACGAAGTCAGTGAAAAGAACCTACCTTTATTTACCAATGTCGATTTTTTGCTTGTGATGAAGTAGTCCTCGCAAATGTGAGATATGTATGTAGTTTGTTTTTAAAAGTAAGATTATAGTCATAGTCGATGTATAGCGACGGTAGTTTACCAGCAGCTCCCTGTACAAATAGAAATGTGGTTTTTATATAATATTACTAGTTAAATTAATGAGTACAATGCAGGAATAAAAAAATGTGTCTTAAATGTTTTATATTAAATGTGTTATAATTATATTAACCACCTTATATTCGTATAATATGTACTCACAAACAATGATAGTCCCAACTGTTTTTAATTGCTTATAATTTAAACCTTCTTATTAAATAATTTAGATGACTGTGTCTGATCTAAAATTGCACGAGAAATAGAGAAAATTAGGTCTCAGACAGAACTCGACCGGGATATAACCGGCGCAGCCGGAATACCGGCTGGTATTTGGCGATTTTGTACCGGTACCGGCCGGGATTTTGGTTTTAGCCGGGATTTTTCCAAAATAAATTCAGTTTTTCTCAACGTTAATTTGAGTCCAAAATTAACAAATCTGTGAACATTTTCCTAAAACATTTTGACGAAGTCATTGAACAATGGAGACTGGAGTCAATCTATATTTAACATAATCATGGGTGTACGAATTATGGACTTCTTTCTGACTTATGACTTAATTATTGTGACTAAGTGTCACGGCTCACGGTCTTGTGTTACCGAGGGACAAGTAAAACAGAGTTCTCCGGGTAAAGAAAGCATTAATAAATGCTATTCAGTATTCATCCTATTCAATTATTCAGGTAAGGTGATGTAAACTGTAAAGTGATAAGCTCCAACGTCAAACACCATGTTCAATTAAATAAGTTTAAGTAACCAATACCAGATCACAGGATTGTTATAGTTACGGAGACTGTTGGAAACGATGCAAACCAGGATCGGACTCCTATCAGAAATAGTCGACCACCGGTCCAGCCTCCCTCAAACTCAAATGCCCTACCACTACCCCAGACCACATCCACCTCTTCAGCCAGGAACAGCGCTCCCACTATACCACTACCAGCAGTTCCTACCGCCTCAGAGGATACACTGCACGTGCCCGTTATTCCTCATGCCTCGTCTTAAATGTCCAGTCCATGAATCCTAGTGCATCAAGTGCGAGTATATGGGAAGTGCCAAAAATCTCAGCTCTTATTCAGGAGAAATCCAAAAACCACTCGTTACCGTTTATTGCACTTACGGAAACGTGGCTCAAGTCCTACATGTCACTGTCAGACAAATACAAAATGTGCATCACCTCTTTCTCCTGCTGAGCAGAACCTCCCCCTTAAAAGTAAACAAATCTGCATCGCCTCCCAACGACAATCCAGATATATTAAGCAGCAGAGACAATCATTTAAGGAGACTTCGATATCTATCAGGATCATGATTTTACTGCCTGAGAACTCAGCACTTCAGGATGAAACATATAATATTTGGTTTTCTCGATTTCATTCATATTTAGACAGAAGTCCGTGTAGATAATTGGTTATAGAATAATTGGATATAATTTTATGCGAAGTTGTGTCTGCGAAAATATACGTGTGAACTGGTCATCCCGCAAATGCTGAAAAAGTAGATGTTACCTATCATAAAATAACCGCTCGCACCGTACAGTGTACACGACAGAGTTGTGACTGCGTTTACAAATTCTTTATCATATTGATGTGTTGCCATGGCAACCGAAACTCCATCGGAAGATCGGCCTGTAAGGCATAATCATGATAATACACAGTATCAAAACATTGCCATTGATATCATAGCAACATTCCAGAGATTAGGTTATGTGTGTGTAAGAAAATGTATGTTATAGTATTATACAGTCTGCTAGAACATTCCGTTTACACATGGTGGCCGATAACAACTTGTTTAATTTATCTCCGAATTACACACAAATTTCTGAAAGTTTCGTAGACTTAAATCAATTACAGAGGGTGTGGCTATTGGCCAGCCCCTCTATTTCACTATTATGGTTGAAACTATAAGAATACAGATTATATTGTTACAGTGATTTTACAAAAGTCGAAACAGTAAACACCAATTTGTAGGATAGGTACTTTAAATCACACTAAAATTGGTCCCAGAATGCAATGAAATCTGATGGCGTCTTTTCAGTGAAAAAGAGGCCACACCCTCTGTAATTGATTAAAGTTTACGAGACCTTTAGAAAATGAGTTATATAACTTGGAACTTAAACTAAGATAAATTGAGTATTTATACTCAATTTATCTTAGTTGCATGAGTAATATATATATACTCTCATTTTTTTAGAGCAAACGTAATTTAAATGGCTAAACACAATTCAATAAAATTTGGCTCGATCCGATTATCCAAACTATCAAATAAATGCGAAAATGAACCTTCTTTTTGCTTTTGAAAACAATGAACACAAATATGTTTCGATTTGACAAATTTCTCGAACCAGTGGTGGTAGTAAGTCATACCAGAACCAATTATTTCAATTGGGCACTCAGTGACTGAGCTATTAATGCCAACGTTTGCACACTGACTTTTGGCCCACCCTGTATATTTATAATATACGGCTGGAAAAAATGTAACTGGATATCTGCCACAATGCTGCTATTATTAAGGTTAAAGTAACATTTAGCACATAAAGAAGTCTGGTTTGCTAGGTTTTAATTGGTCGTATAATAACAAATAAAAATGAGTTAAGACTACAAAAACGGTCGATAGAACCTAATTATAATACCTGTATCGAGAACTCGACTTCAATGCACTGATAGCGTTGGTACTAACATTCTATCAAATTATGTCATATCTTGAGACTTGATAGCTACCTGAAACAGTTTTGAGTCAACATTATCGTGATATTCTAGAAATTGAAACCAATTCTCAACTTTAAAAAAGCAGGTTTCAATAAATGCCATAGAATTAAATTCTACCTTTTTAAATTTTAAGAATTTGTTGATTTATTAAAATTCTGTCTCAATTAATATATAAGGGTACATGCAATGTATTTCGACACGCACTGTAGACTCACTTATTGGATTCGTGCTAGATGCTGTGTACGTCACCCTCTTAACCACCTCTATGGCGAAGATGAGGATGGTAAGTGCAAGTACAGTAATGTGAGGAGAGGATGGGTATCATTTAGCACATTTTTGCTGTAGGTGTAAAGTAGCTCTTAGTCAAGGAGTATATAAATTCCGGCACGACAAGGTTCTGCAACAGATCTCTGAACATGTTATCTTGTGAGCGCCGAGTGAACACTTATAAGAACAAGGCCAGCGATGTAAGACAGTATCATTGACTTAGTCCATGCTGGGAGGAAAAAAGCAAGTACAGACGACCGAAAGGAGTCGTGGTTTGGGATCCTGAGTGGGTCTCGATATTGGATAGTGCTTTTATATATCGGACCTTATGATATTCTCAAGGTCACCAAGACGGCACAGTCTTATGGCGGGAGGTAACGGTACCATCTAAAGAGCAGATTGCTGAATCATACAAGTAAAAACTCTACCGGTACAGCAGTCTTACAGCAGACTGAGATTCAAGCGAAAGAATTTTGTGCTGTTATAATTATGCGGTTAAAGTTCTAGCACCGGGAGTAGTTGTTCACGGTTTGGAGAGAGCTGAGTAGGCTAGTACGGGATAGAAGGGAAGAAGCAGCTCACTGTTCCAGATGGATCTACTTCTTATCAAGGAAGAAGGAGTGGTAGGTATAGTAAGGAAGATTGGAGCCTAAGAGTTAACTTAACATCTAGAGGTACCACAAACTTTATCTCGTCGCCAATTGCGAGCTTTAACGGGTTTCCTCAAGTGACTCGATGGTTTAATTGTGACAAATCATGATACGAACTTTGATGAACCCATAATAGTATAGTGCAATAATACTATGATAGTATTCTCATAAGTTCTACCCTTGCAACCGAGTACAATGTACATACTAAGTGATATCAAGCTGCAATCTAAAATTTATTAATTGAATCTCAAAATAACTTCAAATTTTACCTAATAATTGCGACATCGTTGGAAGTGAGAAATAAAATACATTAAATTTTAATCCAATTCTGCGAGAGAAGATTTGCCCAGACAGCTGACAAGAATGTATTACCATACTTCCTGTAAATGTGGTAGTTATTAGGTCATATCAAACTTGAAAATTATGTCAAAGTTTTTCTCAGTCTCTGGTGTCAATCACCAGTAGAGTGCCCAGCCGCACCAAAACAACCTGCGATTTTTACGTGGGAAACATCGTATAATACACATGCTATACACTCTAGTTTTATAGCAGCTACTGATATCATGCGGCAGTATTAATAAGCATACAAATTCAGCGCAAAAAATTGTAAAGACGACACAAATTCATGCGGGATGTTAATAAATGTGTCCATGTTGAACTCAAACTCCGACAGAATAATATTTCAAATCGGATATATTATAATTAATCAAATGGTATCTGCTCATGTTCCGTCTATATAAACTACAAAACTTAATAAATTAGTGAAGTTCTGAAACAAAGATCACGACTAGGTTTTATCAAAATTGAAAAGAAAACCGATCGAAGTGCACTAGAGATATAGTTTAAGTTTAAAGGGTCATCATTACTAAAATCTCTTCCTAGCTCCTAGCAATCAAGTTGTTAATCCTAGTTCTACACCTAAACAAGTACAAAATTACAGCCTTACATTTTGAAATTTTTCGATATCCAGCTCAACATAAGACTTCGATACCAATAATGCATAATGGGTACATACCGATGATCGGTGTTCGTAAATATTTGATTATTTATAGTATTGAAGTTTAAAATCTTCCTAATTATGTAAGAATAACAAAAGGAATCACGTACTAGTGTGCTGTTACGAAAAACAACTATTTAATAAAAATAAATTAACAGTATTCGAGTACAAAATTAAAAATACAAACTCCAACATAATCGACAGACAAACTCAATAAATGAAGATTTCGTCGTGAAACGAGCTATATATACAGCTATAACGTAGCGCTCGACTCCAGTCTGAACCAAAATTAAGTCGCGTTCGTAGGAAATTGACCACCAGCTGCTGGTGGTTCGAATGTTGGTTTGCA